AAAGAAACGAAATAAATAAGTATCGTCTTCCTTAATTTTTCTTTATTTTACATCAGAAAATGGCTTCATCATACTACATGTGTTATTTCGTTCTTCGTGATAAAGTAAATTTTTCACAATAACATGAGATACTTTTGTCGACTTGAGAAATCTGGTAAACATCAAGAAATAAACCAATCGTGCGAGGGACAACAAGTGTAAAATTACACGTCGGGCCCAAGCCATCTCTCTGAGTAGACGATCGGAAAGCTTAAATTCGGGATGCATTCACATTTTGTCTCGTGTGCACGCTCTTTCGGCAGCGAAATGATAACATTAGAACGAGAAGTAGTGATGACCGAGTTGGTAATTACACACGTGATCCCGGGGGAGATGTGAGCCCTACGGGCATCATACATAACAACCAAATTTGCATCAAGATACAATCGGAGAAACAGGGGGAGAATCGGAGAAATCCCTCCCAATTTCTCTTCGTGTGATTCCACAGCATCGGGAAAGATTTCCGGGACCGGCAATTAGCAATAATAACCTATTCCGCGCGCCAATCAATGTTAATTGACATCGGTCAAGCGAATCCCGCGAAAGCTCTCGGGGTTCCGTTCGTGTGCGCGCGCGCGCGCACGCGGACACACCTGCGCGCGTTCGCCAATCCGGCGAAAATTGCGTGCAATTTGCGCGAAAATAAAATCAAAATGTGAACAAGGCACGACGCACAGCGGATTCGAAAAGGCAGCCTCGCTCCGCGAAGAAGAGAAGAAGGGGGAGGGGAGGAGATGCCCCCCCCTTCATTCTCGCCGACGCAGGGCGGATGCACGCTTCGAGTGGCTAATTTTCTTCCTTCTCTTCACTCTAGTCCCCCTCACCCCCACCGTCCCTCCCTCCACCTCGTGATTTCCCTCGTCTTTCCTCTCGCGGTATCTCTCCTCTCCGCCGAGGACGAAACGACCACCGCTTTGTTGGAGGACATCTCGCCGCTAATTATGATTAATTTGTGAGACGAGCGAGCGAGGACCTCGAACCCGACAGCTACCGGGGGCGCGGAGGATCAGGGAATGCCGAGAGAGAGGGAGGGGAGGGAAGGGGGGGGAAGGGCCGGGGAGAGGACGTAATTAATATTCTCAGCGGGACGGCGTTGCAACGTCACGTGAACGTCACCCAGGTGACTCCGTCGACGATTTCCCCGTTCCGAGTCCGGGAGAGCTTTCTTTCGGTCCAATCGTACGTAAGGCCGCTTTGCGCCGCGTAATTACGCGTTCGATATAATTGCGCGATGATTATTCACGACTGGTTATCCCGCGTGCTTTAATGCACGCGTTATTAGCCGCGAGTAAAGTCGCGGAGTCACGGAGCGAACGCTCGGTTATTCGGAATATATGCGAATTATACGCATTTAATTAATCTCTCAGATTGCAGATTCTCCAAATCGGAGAAATCGATATTAAACTTTTTTAGTATTTTTTTTTCCATACGTAAAATTTGACAACGCGTCGCGAAACAAGAAAAAAAAAACATATGACAAGAAAAATACAATCCTCGACCGTTTATATACTAATTTCACGTCTATTATTCTTCATTCTATAATTCTCGTTATATATTCGCGAATTGATGCTTTGTGGATTTATTCCCCCAAGTATGAATATTTTATTCATGTAAATGTGTATTTATAAAGTGTATTCAAATGAAAACCACCGCTTCCTCCGAATGGGTTAATAGGCACGCGATATAATCTCGCGATGGTTATTTGCGACAACGATCTCGCTTGTTTAATGTACGTGTTATTAGACGAGTGGAAAGCGTCCCTGTAAGATTACAAGAGATTACAATTCCTTTAATCTCGAGCAGCGTATTTTATTTAATTCTTAAATAAAATCTTTATATCGGATATTCTAGATTCTTGAGTTCTATTAATTCTAAGCTGCGATCTTAAAAACTTCTCCGGTTTTATAAATATTTACGATGTTTTTAATTGATTTTACAGCAATCGCACTTTGCATATCATTATTATTATATCAGTATCTTACACCTATTTTACAATTTGTGTGTATAAAAAAAAAGGAAAAGAAAAATATGTGTGGCCTAATAAAAATAAAGCTACTATCTTCCGATTAGATTCAAGATAATTGCACACATTATCCATAATTGATCAATAATCCTTTTTTTATATATAACGTTCATATTGTCAAATAGCGTTTCTTAAATTTATAAATAAGATAATATAATATCTTCAGGATTTCATGATGAAAGAGTAGTTTTGATTAGATTAGATCATGTTAAGAATGAGGAAATATTTCATATAAGATATAAGTTACAAAGTTGGACAGATATTATCGGCGATATCGTTGCAGTTTTCGTAATCTTATTTCATTTTCTTGCAGTCCCGCAATGTACCATAATTACACGCTCGATATAATTGCGAGCAATTACTGTTAATTATTGTTTAATACGAATTAAATTGTTCTGACGTCACGCAGCGAAGGTTTGATCATTTTTCGAATCGCGTGTGACCGTAATTACAGGTCGAAAGTAATTACGAGTAATTATCGGTAATTATTTAGTAATCCGAGGTCGATTGTCGCTCGTCGGAATTGAAAAACCATTTATAAACTTCTAACATGGAAATTCTTTATAATCACCGATTTCGTGAAATTATAGCCGCGCACAGCACATGTACACATGCTACAAAATATAATTATCAAGAATAATTTCAAGAAACGCATTTACTAATTAAAATTTCAAGGTGAAAGTTCATAAAAAGATACCGCACTCTTTTCTCAATGGCAAACGATAAGATAAAGCCGCGCATACAAATCTTATATAATCACGGAATTAAGCATTTCATTTTTATTATTTCGATATACAAAGGTGAATTTTACATATTATCTTTATTTTTTATTTACAGTTATACGAAAATTGAACTTACATTTTGTGCACGAATATGCGTGACCGGTATTATTGACTCGCAATGTGGTATATCGGTGATTATTACACCAATCAATTCGCGTCCGACGGAAGGGAGGGTCCGTGATGGCGTGACGAAAGGGTTTAATTACGTGCGTCTCGGCGATGACGAAGACAAATACCTAAGTGTGATTGCCAGTAGTAAACTCGTCGAGTTTTCGATCAGCTGGTACCACCGTGACTAAAGCTCCTCGACGTGCCGACCGCGATGCGAGAACGATGCCCGTTACCGCCTGGACGTGATTGAGTTGCACCAGATTCGAAAAGATCGTTTTGTGTCGTAGCGATAAGGAAAAAAAAAAAACGAACTTTCGTTTCTCGGCTATTGAATTATTTTTCCCTCGGCTAGCAAACCCAATTGTGGATTATTTCACGCGTCTGCGGCACAACGCCAACAACGCCGGATTTGAATTTGCATTCCGCATATTTTCCGCATATCGAAGTTGATATTTATATACAGTTTATTCATTCTGCTAATTAGGATTGATCATATTAAATTTATATACTTTGACTCGAAATATATATTCTCTTGTCCTTCTAATTGTTTTTACTAATTACGTTCTTTAAAACAAATTATTCTTTCATAAAGCCAAATAGAAGATTAAACAAAAAAACTACGCCGTCGAGAAAGAAAAGTCGTAAAACCGAGAGAAATTTTTAAAATAGTCAATTTCCGCGAAGAAGCGAATTTCCTCTCGAGATGAGAGAAGCTTATTAATCTTTGTTAGCTGCAACTCATTCTTAAATTCACATCCTCGAATATCCGGCGGCTCAAGGGCCCTCCTCCTTGAGCAGGACTGTCGATCTTCTACGTTTTTGCTCAGCGATCTGTCTCTCGAAGCCGACAGCGGTGGTGTCACGCCTAGTAGCCGCGGCTAGCCGCGTCGGGAGAAATTTTAATAAACGGTTCCCCGGGTTACCGATCCCGCATTCATACATACATACATACATACGCGGCACGCATGTACGCGGCGAAGTGTGGAGGTGTTGCCCGTTGCCTGGTAGCCGGCAGGACGACGCGGCCGGGGGGAGGGGGGGAGAGGTTAATCACCCACGCTGGATTTTAATAAACGGTTCGGGGGGCAAACAAAGCTGGCCATCAATAACCACAGAGCTGCCTCGCTCTCTCGCTCCCTCGCTCCGTCTCTTTCCCTCCTTCCCGGGGGCACCGGGGGCCCCCACGGCCCACTTCGCCGCCTGACCGACCCGCGGCCATGCCAGGGCCTTTGCCACCAGCTTGTCGAGCCTCGCAGCGGACAGCGAGATAGGCGGAGATCGTATCTTCGTGGTTATTAATTAACCGGCGAGAAGGGAAGGCCCCCTTTCATCACCTCGCAAACGATCTCGCCTTCAGCGAGAGAGAGGGCCCTCGGCCTTGCCCTAGCATACGGACAGCCGCAACTCGGGGACTTTTCGCTTGATATGAGTGCTATGCTATCTTTGCTCATCTACAGCGAAGCGACGACAAATCGTCGTGCATAGGTAGACGCGATCGAAATTATACGCGTGAAAAAGGTCATTAGATGTGACATCAAGGAGATTTTACGAGCGTCGAATGACGGTGAGTTTTTATGAGACATTTGCATTTGCACTATTTTGTCGCTCGTTATCGAAACGTATAAGCGACACGGAAATTTTTTAATGTGAAATAAATACATTAATGTGAATACAATTTATTTAAGAAACTATTTGTTTAATAGCGCAAGGTCGTTGTCTCATAAGCCAGTATTTCGTTATCTCGAGCGCAAACTTTTAACTTCGATTATTACATCCGGCAGATATCAGAAGTAGATAGAGATAAGCAAAATGGAGTACCAACTCGCTATCAACTGTTTAAAAATATATCTCGCACCTATTTTATTAATAACAAACAACGCACAGAAGGTGGAAATAAAAGATTTACATTAAGCAACGGGCACTGACGATAAATGCGGTCATCTTGGAATTTGTAGAAGTGAAATAAAACCCAGCGAGATCCGCGCATCGCGATATCGAGATATCTCGCGGAAAAATCAATACGAAACGGCGTAATGGGTACTTACCCGTTTATGGACGTTCGACTGATGAACCAGGATAACGCCGACCTGGCTAACGAGTGCCAAGTCTGTAGGGGCAACGAGTCGGATCTCTCCGCAGATCTCACGAGGAAAATTTCGGCGGCTTTGTCGGGCTGGTCGGCGTTGGGACCGGTACCGAGAGGGATCCACAAATCCAACAGATCTTCTCTGATCTTGCTTTTGTCTACCCTA